CAATAAACCACACAACCGCTATTGGTGCAAGAAAAACTCCAGTGGCCGACGATACATAGGCATTCTTTTTGTCCACTATACAAGCATTTATGTTGATGGACACATGACTGCTGGTAGCGTGTAGGTGGGTAGCCCATTCCAACAAGTCTTGCAAACTTTTCGCCTGCCTAGCTAATAGGCTCATATTAAATTAATCTCCCATTTTTACAATTGAATTCTCTAGATATGGCTGATTCACGTGACCTTGCTGGAGGTTATTTCATTTGGGCTAATTAAATATTCCATTCTATTATTGGGCTCAAAAATGTATTTTCTCTTGGCCCATAACTCTTTTAATTACATTAGAACATTTGGGCTTGTTGGAAACATGGGTTAGCTGAAATCACCATGGCAGGCAGATTTCGGCAGCTCCGCCCACTTCATCCTTCCACTTTAGCCCTTCCAATTCAGTTCTTCCACTTCGGCTACTGGAATCATTTGGACATCCATTTGCTAAAATAACCGTGGAAGGATGACTTTGGTTTCACCCGCTTCGATTCTTGCTTCGGCCTCCCACTTCAGCTTCCCAGTTCTGCAGTTCTACCACCTCAATTCCTCTCACTTCGACCTCGCATCAACATTCCATTTTAGTGGGTTTGCCATAATCATAACAAAAAAAAAAACTTCAGTTCTTCCACCCACTTCGGCCTTCTCATTCCACTTCTACTTCTCCATCTAGCCTGACGGGGTACTTCGACTTCTTCTTAATCAGCTGCAAATCAACACTGTATTTCTTCAATTCGACACAGTTATTGCCTCCTTTGAATGAGAGCCTGTCATCCTCCTCGGCTTCATTTTCAGTAAAATCTTGTTCACTTTGGAGGCTTGGGGAGTGTCATTTGCAGTAAGTTCTCATGCATTGTCCTCCCCATTATCTCAAATGTGCTCACTGTTGATTAGCCCATCATAAGTGTCAGAGTACAGATTATGCGAGCATGCAAATTCACTTTCAGCCAAAACATCTGGTTTTTCTAGTATTATGAAGAGGCTGACTTTATGGTTAGGAATTAAGGTCATAATACTTCAGCCTCATTTGTGTCCTATTTATTGGCTGGGTGTTCTTTCTTGCCTCCATTTTGGCTTGCCACTTATTCCAAATCACATGGAAAGAGGGCAAAAATACTTGACTTGGAGAATTAGATATAAAAGGAGTAGAGGAGGACTTCAAACTCATGGTCATCGGTCCACCATTTCAATTTGTTCTACTCGAGCTATCTCCTTTAGCAAGAAAAATGGAAGATAAAAAATATAAAAGTTGCCATTACTCCACAATTTCGAAGAGGCTACGATCCGAAGTCCTCGTTCCTTGAATAAAGGAAGAGGTGGTACCTTAAATTCCTCATTCCCTCAGTGAAGGAAGATGTGGTACCTTGAAGTCCTTGTTCCTTGAATAAAGGAAGAGGCATTATTTTATAAGTCTTCGTTCCTTGAAAAAGGGAAGAGGCTAAAGGTTAGACATGTTAAACCTTGCAAAAGGAGCCTTTCCTGACCTCATTTGCGAGATGTCTCTTCCTCGCCTCTCACTATCGTCGAGCTCAGCTCTAAATCCTCGTCTATTCGAGACAAGCTTATAAGATTCTGATAGTTCGACAGTTCGCCAAATGTTTATTCCTGGCTTCACGAGATGTCTATTCCTCGCTCACTATCGTCGAGCTTAGCTCTAAGTCCACTTCTATTTGAGGCCAGCTAAGACTCCGTTAGTTCGACAGTTTGCCAGATGTTCATCCCTACCTTCACGAGACGTCTTTTCCTCGCTTCACTATCACCGAGCATAGCTTTAAGCCTTCGTCTACCTGAGGCCAGCTTATAAGACTCCGATAGTTTGACAGTTCGCAAGGTGTTTATCCCTAGCTTCGTGGGATACTTATTCCCTGCCTCACCATTGTCGAGCCTAGCTCTAAGTCCTCATCTATTCGAGGCCAGCTTATAAGACTTCGATAGTTCGACAGTTCATCAGATGTTTATCCTTGGCTTCGCGGGATGCTTATTCCCCGCCTCACTATCGTCGAGCCTAACTCTAAGTCCTCGTCTATCTGAGGCCAGCTTATAAGACTCCAATAGTTCGGCAGTTCATCAAATGTTCGTTCTTTGGCTTCGCAAGATGTCTTCCTCACTTCTCACTATCGTCGAGCCTGACTCTAAGTCCTTGTCTAAGCTTCCAATAGTTCAAGACTTATTCACGAGGCGTCTATTCCCTGCCTCACCAGATGCTGTCCACAGCTTAACAAAGCTTCAACCCTCTTGACGCGGAGTCCCTCTGTTGGTCATCGTCTCGGTTGTAGCGTTGCAAAAGCTTTATCGACCTTCAACCATCTCCCGCATCGATCGTAGATGAGCTCCTCACTTAACTTTATAAAGTTTAGACGCACCTGACGCGGAGTCCCCTATGGGTCATCGCCTCGGTAACTGCGTTCCCTCCTAAACTTTACAAAGTTTTAGCCATCTCCCAATGCGTCGTCCCCTGTGGGTTAGTGTATCAGTGGCGGATGAGCTCCTCACTCAGTTTTACAAAGCTTAGACGCACATGACGCGGAGTTCCCTATGGGTCATCGCCTCAATGGCTGCGTTCTCCCCTAAACTTTACGAAACTTTAGTTGTCTTCCAACGTGTCGTCCCATGTAGGTCAGCGCATCGGTGGCAGATGAGCTCCTTCCTCAAGCAGCATCGAAGCTTCAATGCCTCAGTCGAAGATGTGTCCCGACCTTCAGCTTCACAAACTTCAGTATCTCCCATGCGTCGTCCTATGAGTTAGCACTTCGGTAGAGACAGTTGAGCCTACAACCGCAGTAGCAACCATACACTCAGCTGATCTTAAAAAGTCAACGGCTGATATACATCAGTATGCTTCAGTATCAATACAGATACTTATATTCAGTTCAGAGCATCGCCTCTGCTATTGTGTCCAGAGCATCGCCTCTGCTACTACATCTAGAGTATCGCCTCTGCTACTACAATTAGAGCATTACCTCTGCATCCAACGCATCGCCCCTGTTGCCTATGTTACTTACATTCAGAGCATCGTCTCTATATCAACTTTATCACAGTAGCTTACATTTCAAGTCTGACCCGCATATAAATAATACGACTCGGACTTGGGGGGCATATTACTGCTAGCATACGCATCACATTACTGCTTCCAAGTATGAATGCCATATCACTGCTAGCATGTCATACATTATTTTCATCACAGCCGTACGTATGTCGTGTTATCATCATTTTCATTTTATTGTTAACATCATGTTACTTGCTTTACTATAGCACTACTGATACACCGAGTTGTGCGGGCACATGATTTACTATAATGCATGACAGCCCCTCTGCACATATCTTGGAGGAATGTTATATGTTACGCCTTATAGCTATGAGCATTTGAAGGGGCAAATGGACCCCAAATTTATTTGGTATATGTGCCGTGAATATATTATATTGTATTACAGGATTGGTTTAGTTCATATTATAGAGTGGATGCTGCTGAAATTTCTAAAAAATATATGCAGTATATCTTTCGAGGCAATTCGTAAGTCCTCGCTTATTCTGACTCGTACACATTTTCTGAGGCAGTTCGTAAGTCTTCACTTATTGGAGCTACCCATCTTTTTGAGGCAATCTGTAAGACCTCGCCTACTTGAGAGATTATATTTCAAGTCCGACCCACATATAAATAATACGACTCGAACTTGGGGGGCTACTGTTACGCCTATGAATTATCACTCCATATTGGACCATCTTATTGGACTCGAGCCAGGCCCATTAGTGTTGGGCCCCAAGGCTAAGGCTCTAAGAAGTCTAGTCGAGACGCCACCGTGGCCATAAAAAGTCCAGCCGAAGCACCTGTCGAAGTGCTTATTACTTTGCTCACCTCATATTGGGCTCGAATTTAGGCCTGTTAACCCGCTTGGCCCATTTCACATCCATTTCTCTATAAATATGGATTCAACTCACACAAAAAATGGATGTTCTACACTCTCTAGCCAAACTCCCATCTCTATAGTATTGCATTATATATATATATATATATATCTCCGTCCAGCTATTGACTTGACCGTCAGAGTGCAAACGGTCACCGGACTTTTTTCTTGTCCAGTCGTCTTTGCCTCTTGACGGGTGCTACTTGCGTAGGTTTCGAGGGAGCAAGGCTAGAAAACCTGTTGAAACCATTTTCGGAGGTCAACAACTTCGTTCTTCTATTCAAGTAAGTATTGTATCGACTAAGTTTTAAGAAGCTACAATCTATAGCGCAATTGCGATTCCAAAACCTGAAATGAATATTTTTATACAATTTTTTGAATTATGAATTATCCTATTCAATTATGTATTTTGTGGTAGGTGATATATTAAAAGACAAACCAACTAGAATTTAATACAACTCGTCTTTAGTTTTTGAGCTCCATTTTTTCTAAAAAAAATATATTTTTTATTTTTATTATTTTCAACTACACTTTTCAATAAAAAATATTAAACATCAATTCAAAAAAAAAATTTATTTTTTAACAAAATATATTCTTCAAAAAATTATTATTGTGAAATATATTTTTTCCAAAATTTATTTTTAATGAAACCCAAATAGGGTTGTGCTCTAAACAAAAATATTAGTAATACAAAATTTTGCATCGACTATGAATCTAGCAAATTTTACGGTGGGATTGTATACCTGGTAGAGTTTATAAGCACCTTGTCGAAAAGAACGAGAGAAAGACGAAAGAGTTATGAAAATAAAAATATAGAGAATAAAAAAAAATTATGCTCCTATCTCGTGTGAGATAAAATTAAATTTTGATTAGATTTCGATAAAAACTGATAAAATGTATGATTTAAAAGATATAGAACCCAAGAGATATGTGACTAAATTAATTTTTGACTTTAATTTAAATTTAAATTTAGATTTTAATTCGAATAAAATAATAGAATAATAACATATTCTTGAATTTGAATTCTATTTCATTCAAAAATTAGAAAGAAAATTAACAAGGAAATAACACAAAAATTTGGCCTACCATTTCTGTTTACATCATCAAGAAGCATAAATCTTCTCGATTCACAACAAAACAGCTCCCCAAATTTCTCGGAGCTGTTGGATTTTTATTTATTATTAACCAATTTCGACCCATAAATTGAAAGAAAACAGTTCAAAAGAAAGACGGAAAAAAATGCGTTTCTGTCTTTAATTGAAGAGAATTTTCTGATATATTTGATTCTGGAAGACTTTAATTCTTTATATTTTTTAGGTTCGTCTACATTTGGAGATTCTCAGGTTCGTATCTTTCCCTAATTTTGCATTGCTCAGGATTTAATTCCATTCGAATCTGTTTTCCTTGTGTGTTTAATTTTGTGAAATCATTAATAATAATTGCGGGTGTTTGGTACATTGTTGGCTTTTCCAACTCCAATTTATCAAATTTTTTCGTTCAAAATTCTAACTACGTTTTGGCTTTTAAAAATATAAGCAAAAGCTTTAAATTTTGTTTATATAAATTGTCCCAAACATTCGTACATTGTGTTCAAAATGGTAGGTTTTACTTAGTTCTAGCAATTTCATTTATTAGGTTTGCTCGTATATGTTTACTGAGTAAATTAAGGATTTCAAAGTGAATTTCTAGATCTGCGTATCTTTTAAAATTGCAAATCTTTTCATTTTCTTGGTGGTCAAAGGTTAAAGTTTCTAAAAATGGAAGTGAGAATATTTAATGAAAAATGGGAGAGAAGTATGAAAGGAATATTAAATAGGGATTAAATTTTGGGCTTTTTAGGCAGGGGAGCTCGACAAGAGTGAAATGCATTCGATTCAGCTGAACTAAATGGGGGCACATTTGCTATCTTATTCTGCTATTTGCACCTTTTGTGTCCTTAGATATGAATTGAATTGAGTTACTTCTTATAATGATACATTTAGAAGGCAGTATAGTGGAATGATACCTTCCTCAAACTGCCATCTACAACACTATAGTGGAATTCTGCTTTTTGAAAGGCGGAAATGTTTATGTTGTTGTCATGGTGTGTCGGATACAAGCGCTCATGATAAATGATGATTTGTATATGCTTCAGCCCGACAAAATAGTTGGTGTCCATCATATAAACGAGCTTAATTTAAGGCATTAGTTTACTCAATTTAATCAGGTTGTTACTATGCTCTACAGATTACTCTGTTAAAAAAAGAATTCCATTGAACAGTAAATTGTTATACATGTAATCTTCACCTTGGAAGTTGAGACTGTTTCATGGACATTTTGTATGAACCAATTCCCAGACAGTGAAATTTGTCAACCTTAGCACTGAAGAATTTATAAAGATAAAGATTATGGATAAATAGGAAAAGAACATGAGAAATGCATGTGAGAGAAGTCCTTGGATCTTCTTTGGGAGTATAAATTGTTCAAAAATGTTGTCATATACAAGTGCAAGGCAATTCGTAGTTGAAATGCATGTGGTTTACCTTATACTAATGATGCAGTAATTTATTTTTACATTGTAACTACCCTTTTTTTTTGTGCACTTGTTCATATTTAATATTACGTATTCTGAAGTAATTGATGGACTGATATTTTTAGTTTATTTAATGGTTCCCCTTTTTAGAAGCAACCTGGTAAGTGGTAACTGTTAGACTAATGTATTTCCTCTGTTTGTTTTTACTTTCAGTATTGTGTCCATTATTGGTGCTGTAAAGTATCTATCAAATTTAATGGAACCACTATCAGATGTGTATACAAGTGAAAATGTGGATCCCCATAGCTTAAATGAAATTCGCAATGGCGATATTTCTGAGAGAATAGAAACTTTTGAAGGTAGACATGACTCTAGTTTTTATTCAATGCTCTCGTCCTGTTAACTATGTTGACCTTACATATATGAAGGAATTGTTTTCGTCAATTTATCATGCAGGGAGTAACCTCTTTGAAGCCTTCCAAACAATGCATGGACAGTTTGGAGATCTCCCAGCTTCTAAGATTTCAGAACTAATGAAATTGGACAGTTTCGAGGTGACCTCTCTCTCTTTCCCTCTCCCCTAACAAATAAAAGAAAAGAAAGTAATATAAAAATGTCAGTTCGTTATTGTATTCAAATATCACATCTTGATAGTGTTCTTATATGCTTTAAGCGACTCTTTATATGCAGAATGCCTCTACTAGGTCACTTTTCAGCATTCTGAGTAGGATTCTAGACGAAAGAGTTGAAAAAAAGAAAGAGGATATCTCTCAGGTACATTAGTATACAACACGTATATTGGCATGCAGATACTGATTTAATTTAGCCTTTGTTTGAGCCCCATGTTGTGGAAAAAATATATTTTGTAATAGTGATTTTTGGGAGCATGTATGGTTAAAGGTAAGAAAAGGTTTTTGGTTTACGTGTAAATTATTTTAAAGGGAGAATGTGTTGGAGAAAATTGAGTTTTGAAATAATGGAGCTTAAACAAGGGCTTAGTATTTCTTCCTTTTCAGCTCACCCATTTTCTGAACCTTATTTTGAAAATTTTTGCTTTTTGCTCAGCATGTGGCATCTGTATTGAAATTAGTTGTGCAAGAAATTGAGCAACGGGTTTCGGGGCTACTCATAAGTATAAGGAAGGTATGTATTTAACAGATTGTTAGCCCTGGATTGTGATTCTTCTTCTCAAATGTAGCTTTTTGACTATTTACACGTATCACTGCAGCAAAGCAGTCTATACAAATCTCGTGAAGACAGATATCAATCTAAAATTAGAGCACTCGAAACCCTTGCAACTGGAACCACTGTCGAAAATGAGGTATTATGGGTGTGGACTTAGGTTGCTGGGTGTTCCTTGCTGTTAATTTTGTTCATCTCATTTAATTTTCATTTCTACAGGTTGTCAAGAACCAGCTGCAACAGACTAAGGTGCATGTCTTATTCACAAAAAAAGTTATTACTTATTGATAATTTAGTGTTTTGACAATAATAGATGGGCAAGTATTAGAGTTGAATTGGAGGATTTTTGTATATTTAGCCATGTATGACTTCATTCCCTTCATCTAGACCTTCGAGTCATTTTCAACAAATAAGGCCCTCTTAAAACATGATGATAGCTACGATTCTATTTATAACTGTAAGAATTATATCTGCCTATTTGACATTTTTTGCATATTAGATCTTTGACCAAGTTGCAAGTTTGTCAATATCTCAATCACATCAAACTAGTGTGTTGCTTGATTTCTTTAAGCAAATGTTTGTTTTTATTTCCTTGTAAGTTCGCCAATATAGTAGCTTATTGACTAAAGTACATAAACATGTTCTTGACTGAATTTAGGAAACCAACAGATGACCATATAATTTCTTTTAATCCTAAACCATATCTATATGCTTGATCCTCAGTCAAGATGGTCATGAATAATACATGTGCTACTTATACTCTTCTACATGTTATCCTTTTCCTTTGTCTCTTTAATTGTATGATTCTAAAAGGATGATATTCCTTAACTTGTTCGTTATGGACAAGTTCTTCTAATCATCTCACTTGGTTGTCTTTTAACTGACATTAGAATTCACTTTTATATGGCTATCACAGTTTGAGAAGGCGAAACTTGAGGAGGCAAAGAAATGTGACGAACAAAATTTAAACAGGTTGAGGAAAGAAAAGGACGAATGTGAGAATCACATTCAATCATTGAAGCAAGAACTGGAATTAACCAGAAGGACCCATGAAGAGATCCGCTTGCAATTGGAAGTCAAGACTGAGGGAACTAAAAATCGGCTAGAGAAGAAAATTATGGAACTTGAGTGCCTCCTAAATGATTCAAGAGAAAATGTGAAAGAACTCGAGAACTTCTCAGAATCAAAATTCTTGCGATGGAAAAAAAAGGAACAAATATACAAGCAATTTATAGAATCTCATTTCAGATCTCTACAGGTTTGCATCAAATGCAATGCTTTATAATTAGCCCCTGTTTGGTTTAGCTAAAAACCAGATTTTGGTAGATTCATATCATTGCTCTTGCTGATGTGAATTCAATCAGGAATTGAGGTTGGCATCTGGGTCCATAAAGCAAGAGGTTTTGAGGACCAATAGTATATTTGCTGAAGAACTTTATCATTTTGGTAAGAAAATGTTTGAAACTTCTTTGTATTTGTAAATTCTTAATTAGCAATGAACTGAATCCTTTGGATCATGTCCTTCGCAAATTTTGGCTGGATCAGGGATCAATCTCAAGGGATTTGTAGACTCAGTTCAGGATTATCATTCCGTGCTTGAAGAAAATAGGAAGTTGTATAATGAAGTTCAAGATTTGAAAGGTTAGTAATTTAAGCTCGTGACACTAAATTGTTCAATTCAAATGAATTGGCTCAATTTATCTTCGCTTGCTTTTGGTAGGAAATATTAGAGTTTATTGTCGTATACGGCCATTCCTTCCTCAACAAAGTGCAAAGCAAACAACCATACAGTATATTGGTGATAATGGAGAATTGGTTGTTACAAATCCCTCAAAACATGGAAAAGACAATCATCGGCTTTTCAAATTCAACAAGATCTTTGGTCCCACAGCTACTCAAGGTTCTGGTTATTTTACTTTACCGGACATTGCATATTGATATTCTAATAGCAAAAATACCTAATTTTCGTGCAATCATTTCTAATCATCTCTCTCCCCCTGTATTGTCTTGTCTCCAGAGGAGGTATTTCAAGACACTCAACCATTAATCAGGTCCGTCCTTGATGGATATAATGTCTGCATCTTTGCTTATGGTCAGACTGGCTCTGGAAAAAGTTACACTATGGTAAATTTATACTCTTAAAATCAGTTGAAAAGATATCTCTGCTCGTTGGGTTTGTATCTCATGTTATTTAAATATGCCAGACTGGGCCAAATGTAACATCTGTGGCTGATTGGGGTGTCAACTATAGAGCTTTGAATGATCTCTTCAACATCTCTCAGCACAGAAGAGGCTCCATTTTGTATGAAGTTGGCGTTCAAATGGTTGAAATATACAACGAACAAGTACGCGACTTACTCTGCAACGACAGTTCTCAGAAGAGATATCCTTCTAATTTTTTTCTTAAATTGCATATTTAATTGACCATTTCATTTCATTGTCCATGTAATTCTTTCACAATGTTTTCTCTTCTCATAGAAATCCTTTAGTTTCTTAGGGCCCGTTTGGCAGGGAAACACCTTGGGCCACTTCCCCTAATAGCTCTTATAACTAGAAAAAGCACTTTCAAAAAATTATCTAAATGGGTCCAAAAGTAGCTTCATAGGTAGCTTTTGGCTTTTCAAAAGCCCTGCCAAATGGGGCCTTAAACTCATATTGTGAAGCACCATACTGCCTAGCCCCATTCCATACCCCATGCATTTATTTCTTCTTGTTTTCCTTTGACTTGCACACTCTTGGGATATGGAATACTGCCCAGCCAAATGGGTTGGCTGTCCCCGATGCTAGAATGCACCCTGTTAATTCAACTGCAGACGTGTTAGAGTTAATGAATATAGGATTGATGAACAGGGCTGTTGGCGCTACTGCCCTAAATGAAAGAAGCAGCCGGTCCCACAGGTTGGTGATACTTGTGTGTTTATTTCCTACTCTCTATATTTTCTTGGTGGGCTTGATTTTGAATTTACCTTATGTGAGACAGTATCCTCACTGTTCATGTTCGTGGGACGGATTTGGAGACCAATGCTGTTTTGCGTGGTTGTCTACATTTGGTAGATCTTGCTGGCAGTGAAAGAGTAGACCGTTCTGAAGCAACAGGGGATAGATTGCGAGAAGCGCAGCATATAAACAAGTCTCTATCTGCTCTTGGAGATGTGATCTTTGCTCTGGCACAAAAAAGTTCCCATGTGCCTTACAGAAACAGCAAATTAACTCAAGTTCTTCAAAGCTCTCTATGTAATAGACTATTCTTGACTGATATCTCATTAATTATATCATATTAAATGTTTTCAAATATCTTGCTTTTTGTTTGGAGCAATGAGTTCTACCTTATGGTTTTACTCCCCTTTAATTGTTCTATCTCAAATGCATATACTTCACCCTCTTCCTCATCATTGTAGGTGGCCAAGCCAAGACTCTTATGTTTGTACAACTCAATCCTGATTTGGAATCTTACTTAGAAACCATAAGTACCCTGAAGTTTGCCGAGAGGGTTTCAGGTGTTGAGTTGGGTGCTGCACGAAGCAATAAGGAGGGTAGGGGTTTGAGAGAACTTATGGAACAGGTATTGCTTGTCGTTTTTTATTTAGGAGCTTTGGCTACAAATCTAATTTATGTTTTTTATTCTGTATGTGGCTGAAATCAGCTACATTTTTCATCTCTACCATTTCAATCCAAGAAAAAGACCTGTAGCTAATTGATCTTTATTGACCATGCAGGTAGCTTTTCTAAAGGATGCCATGGCAAAGAAGGACGAGGAAATAGGACAGTTACGGCTCCTAAAAGCTAACGGAAGTGGTGATCGGCGTGGTATGGCAACGCCAAGATACGGATCTGCCTCTCCTAGAAGGCATTCTCTTGGGGGTGCACGGGCAAGCCAAAAACTTTCAAGAGGGAAAAGTTCTGTCGAGAAAGCTACTTCAGACAATAGCTCGGAGTACAGTGATAAGCATTCTGAAGCTGGTTCTCAGCAATCAGTGGACGAACTTAGGCACCACAAAGAATTCTTCCAACAATCAAGACTTGCCGTGGTTGGTGACGGCCAAAATTTTACCAATGACATTGGTTCAATGAATGATATAGCCGAAGGGATTAAGGATCCTGATGAGGATGTGGAGCTCTTGGGATTTGGAGATGCAGACTCAGAAGAGAGACTAAGTGATATATCTGACAGCGTTCTTTCGATGGGAACAGAAACGGACTCGATCAATAGTATTGTGGAGTACACTCTTTTCCCTGAAACTTCAAAACCACTCGCGCAGAGCATTGAGAGGTGAGCATTTCATACACCCTTCACATTCTTTTTCAACAGATTCAAGTGCCTAAATTACATCAATTATTTTTTCTTGTTAGAAAATTTTAAAACATTAGTGCTCCTTAGAAATTATCGACCCGATATTTGTTTCTGTCTCCTAGTCTACAGTCATCCCAAAAAAATAAAAAAATAAATAAATAAATAAATAAATTATCAATATTTTCAGAAAATATTATTTTTTTTCCTTCTCCAAACTGGAGAATTGGGCTTTAGTGACTTTTCTTTTCTTTAGTAGGAACTTTATTTTCTTGAATTCTTCTGAAACTACGGATTCTGCACAATCGGCTTGCTGAAAAGTTGCATCATGCATTTTATTATTGATCTGCATGTTGGTGTTTAACATACTCAAACTTTTGTGCTTTCTTTATTGGTGGCTGATTGCAGGCCCCATGTGCCCACTAAACTACCAAGACCGCCCCGGAACCAGATTCAATCAGGATCCTCTCGGTTGTCATTGAGCCAGAGCTCATCGAAAATTCCAAGTACGAACCTCTTCCTATTGTCCTCATCTTCCTATAGTGCAAATTCCCCCCCTAATTTCTTCCTTTTTGGTCTCAGGTTCTAAAAAAACTGTGGTTACCAGCTCATCTGCAGTTAAGGGCTCCAAACGATGGGTGTAAGTCACAAATCACGACAAAGAAATCGTAGAACCTGGCGACTATAGCATGTGTAAATTAGAATGCTGGTAACTTATCTTGCCTAACCGCATTTCTTTAGGCATAAATATTGGTGTATGGGTAGAGATTTGTTAGAGACTTCATTCTTAGAATCTAATTTTAGGTTGTAGCGTGATTCAAAGGCGTCCAATTTGCATTCGTGTAAATTTGCGTGACGCACGATGACTCTATAAACCTCTTTAACTTCCTCAATCAGCTAGTTTATTTGTAGCAGAATGAGTTGTTGACACAATTTAGCAAAGATTGTGTTGATGTGTGTTGGGAAATAATTAGTTACAGAAACTTACAGAACAATAAATACAGAAATAAAACTTATTGACAAATCGAGTCTCGTGATAGCATGATGTTTTAAAGTGAAATTGTTTGTCGATAACTATTGCGACTCTTGTGAACAATCATTCTCAATATACAATGATCAAACAAGTCGCTTGTGCGGCACTCATGAATGGTTTCAGAATTCTCAAATGTCACTACTATATAAAAAGGATGATGTTTCACTACTGTAGAAAGAACAATAGATTCTTCCATTTTGTCTCACTGTAACTTTTTTTTTTGAGAGAAAGCAACGACGTCGTCTATCTTACGTGTTTGATACAGTGATTTTGTTGCTTTTCCTCAATTTACGCGGCGTGAAGAATTATGTTATAGAGTTTTATTTACCCTTTCTCCATTTTTACACGCTACAGTTATGTCTCTCTATTTCTCCACATTTATTCAAGAGCAAAAGTGTGAATTTCATAAATATATGATTGAAAATATATTTAAAGAAAAATAAATTTTAAAAAATGAAGATCAAACATGTTAACAAATAAATATATTTATTTTTCGAAAAATAATTTTTTATTACCATTTCATTTTTATCGTGAAATGATTCTAATTTTAATATGTTAGATTGTGCTTCAAAATTACATAATTTATCAAATATAAATTTTAAAATTAATTTTTATAAAGTAATATATTTTTATGAATTTTTTTATTAAAGTAAACGGAGGCTCGTGTTGAGACCTCCAGAATTACGGAGGCTCAAGCATGAGCCTCCAGAATTCAGGAGGCCATGAGGCCTCCATGTCGAGCCTCCATAATATTTTATTTTTTAAAATTAATAAAAATTTAATTATTTTATATTTTTTAGTATTATTATATTTCACCTTCTAAAAAAAATCATAAAAATATATTACTTTATAAAAATTAATTTTAAAAATTATATTTGATAGATTATATAATTTTGAAGCACAATCTAACATATTAAAATTAGAATCATTTCATGATAAAAACGAAATGGTAATAAAAATCCATTTCTCGAAAAATAAATAAATTTATTTGTTAACATGTTTGGTCTTTATTTTTTAAAATTTATTTTTCTTCAAACATATTTTCAATCATATATTTATGGAATTCACACTTTTGCTCTTGAATTAACCCCCTCAATAAATTATTATTTAAACAGCTCGTAAACATTTTGATTGGTATTATTTTTTGGTCATCCAAATGATTATTATATACTTTTTACGTACGTTGGCCTTCGAATTACGGAGGCCAGGCCTCCATAAAGCCTCCATTGGAGGCTTTGCTCCATAATATGGAGGTCTTGTCTCCGTAATTTTTTATTTTTATTTTTTTTAATATATACTAAAATTATGATTTTTAAATGTTGTTGGCATGATGCATGTGTGGAAGAATATTTGTCAATCACTATAAACAAAATTTTTTATAAAATGCAAAAAATAAAAATGCATAATAAATCTTCTTATTACGCTAATAAAATAACAATAAATTTTTTTTTTACAAATAACATAAAAAATTATTTTTATTTTCAACAAAAAATACATTTAAAAATTAGTAATTTCATAACCACTTTTTTTTTAATTTTCGAAAATACAATTATAAAATAAAAAATAATTAATTTTTTAATATAATATGTTATGGAGGCTCATACTTTAACCTCCATAATTACGGAGGCATCAACATCCATTTTGGAGGCTCAAGACATGAGCCTACACGGAGGCTCATGTTTGAGCCTCCATTATGGAGCCCTGTGTAACAGAGACTATTATTTTACTAAAAAAAAAAAATCATAAAAATATATTACTTTATAAAAATTAATTTTAAAAATTATATTTGATAAATTATGTAATTTTGAAGTACAATCTAACATATTAAGATTACAATTATTTCATAATAAAAATGAAATGATAATAAAAACTCATTTTTCGAAAAATAAATATATTCATTTTTTAATAAATAAAAACATTATTTTTATATATGTACGTAAAAGATATATAGTAACCATTTGGATGACCAAAAAATAATATCAATCAAAATGTTTACGAGCCGTTTAAATAATAATTAATTGAGGGGTTTAATTTAAGAGCAAAAGTGTGAATTCCATAAATACGTGTTAAAAAAAATTCACTTAAAGTTATTTAAAAGTAAAAAAAAAAAAACTTATAATTGTAAAAATTACTTGTAACTTAACAATATATTAACTTAAAAATTTGGAGTAAATATTTAGATATATTTAATTTTTAAAATTAAATATTAACTTATATGTTAAATAGATGATCTATAAATAAAATATCATTTAAATAAAAAAAATATCAAAGGAATCTCTCCATATTTATTATGGAGA